GTATGAATATTCGTGGAGATTGTAGTAATTCTTTTTGAAAAGCCAGACGATTATTGAAAACCTGGAAGCATTGGATGACCGATTCGTCCTATTATGGGACTCCTCATCACTCAGTGAATCCAACTTCATACTCATTTATACACATACATATTGTAGTTCACTTTAATCCTAAATACAAATATGAATATGTAATGTATATTCAGCGCCCATACACAATCAATCCTGTTAACTCACCAAACATGGTTATAAGTAGATCTTGAAAGTTAGTTCTCCTTTTTACGTCAACTAAAAATCATCATCATCATCACAATGTCACTTAAACTGCATTTTAACAAATTAAGACTTTCGACTATAAATTCTAATGAATTAAATTATGTCGAAAAGAATTAAGATGAATATAGTGGAGAATGTTATTCAACATAGGATGATGATATTAAGAGGACATGGAAACATTGAACTACTCTCCACTTCATTGAGTTATGAACCATCAAAAACCATCAGAAAGTTTCTTAGATTAATTAGTTAGATTAATCAAATACAAAATGTACTTAGTTACTATTGTACTTTTGTAAAAAATTAAAAAGTGTAAGTTTACTTTATGTAGATAAAATCGATAAAGATTTTGATATTTATATGTCTCTTACAAGATTTTCACATTTCATTGTGTACTTCATTCATTCAGTTGAAAAATAACATAAAATGTTTCACAAAATCAGAACATGAAACAAATGGTTAGCAATAACTAGAATTAGTACACAAAACAGCAACATTTATCAATAATTCTACCTCGCGAAACTAATCATATCACATGTTCCATCTGGTTCTATCGAAAAGTTACAAGATTAATCAACAGGTTTTTGACAAAGTTACAGCCATGTTAACTGATACTTTGTACATGAAATACTAAAATTCACACTACACAAGGGAGGAGATGTAGACTAAAGATAGAAATAAATTTTATTCACCCTGCAATTACATGACAATCATTGGTGAGTCTAAAATTCATGGACGAGCATTGAGTGACGCTGAAGTGACCTTGGGAGTGTCTGAATACTAACTAGGACTGAATGAGGGCTATAAACTAGTGTCAGGAATTGGGATTAGGATTTACAGTTAATGGTTGAAGCTAGGAATGATATTTAGAGTCTTCATCAAAAAACGTATATCAGCTAAAATGTCGAAACTCTATCTCGTCATATACTTACTTACTTACTTACTTACGCCTGCTATTCCCAATGGAGCATAGGCCGCCAACCAGCATTCTCCAACCCACTCTGTCCTCCGCCTTCTTCTCTAGTTCCATCCGATTCGTGTTCATTCTACTCATGTCTATTTCCATTTCTCGGCGTAATGTGTTCCTTGGTCTTCCTCTTTTCCTTTGTTTAGCCTTGAGGATTCCATGTGAGAGCTTGTCTTGTGATGCAGTTGGGTGCTTTCCTCAATGTGTGTCCTATCCACTTCCAGCGCTTCTTCCTGATTTCTTCCTCCGCTGGGATCGCGTCATATCTCGTCATATGGATGAATAAATTTCGCGCTCAAATCCAACACTTGGTATCCTAAATCTGATTGGTTCGTCTATAAATTATAGTCGCGCCTAAATTACTGAAAAAGTGGGGATATAAAAGTGGATTCCTCTCTTCAATTAATTTTACAACAAGTTTACGTTATACTGAATGGATATTCTATCCAATTAATACAAATACAAATACAATGTTATACTGAATAAACATCATAGTGAAATAAAATATGACCTCACATTTTATCTGGTTCTAGCAAACAATAACTCTTTCATTGCTTATTATTATTATTCAATTGAAATATCTTCCACAATAATTGTATATTAAATAACTCAAATAAAAGCATACATAATATATATTATACTACTATGTACTACGTACTGAGTACATCAGTGAAATAAAATGAATGATAAACTGAATGGATATCACACTGAGTTAAAAGTAAAACGAATGTCATACGAATTAAATATCACACTAAATTTGCATATGATTTCGCGTTTATCTTGTCCTAACACAAAGTATCAAACAGATTCATTAAGATACATTTTAAGGTCATTGCTACTAACATACAGTTAAGTCAATTGAAGTCAAAGATTGTAAAATATACTATTTGATCCACACAAGATTGACTAATGTCAGTTAACTACAATGTTCCAGAGCATTCAAAACTCACATACTGAAACAGTAAGTTGATAAGTTTTAATTACTAATTATGTAGGGATTTTGAATCTGAAAGCGCGGCTATGTCTAGTTTGTAGAAAATGATGAAAAAGAGTCCTATCTATGGAAATGCAAGATGATGGTCTATTAATTAAAGTACTCAACAATTAACCATTCGATTTACGCCGGAAATCTCAAATGGTTACATATTGATTGCTCTACATATTACAAGTATGATCTGTCACAATGATAAGAAGTTAATCTCGATCAATATATATTTTATTTAATGGTAGAAAATAACTTTTCCAAACATTCAATTTTGTTCAATCCAAACCAGTAAAAATCGGAATAGTTTACTCATCGTCCCTAAAACGAATAAAATAGATGATTTACATCAAGTGCAAACTGATATATTAGTAGTTCAAATAAAGTGAATTGAACGACTTCGATCTTTGTTTTAAAGTATCACTTATCGAAGTAACACATAAATGACCAAATAATTCACTTTTAGTTCTTTTTAAAAATTTTATATCTCAAATTTCATGATAACAATATCTTAGTGACTTTTCTTTTGAACCATTTCTAATGATACATTCAATCCATGATGACTAAGTAGGACTTGAAATAACGTATATTTGTTTTATGTTTTCAATAGAGAATTAAATGGAAATAAACAACAACAACAACATGATATTAGACACTAACACCATTGGATGCCGGCTCAGTGGTCTAACGGTTAAGTGCTCAGGCGCGAAGCCAGTAGGTCCTGGGTTCGAATCCCGCGGGGTGCGGGATCGTGGATGCGCACTGCTGAGGAGTCCCATACTAGGACGAAACGGCCGTCCAGTGCTTCCAGGTTTCCAATGGTGGTCTAACATCAATTGATTCATGATCTCAACCAAAAACACAATACGATTACTAATTACTATTCTAATCTTATATGTATTATTGAAAATCAAGACTTATTGTGTGGAAGTTTTCCGTGATCTATACCATAACCTGAATGAAAGGGATCATAGAAAAACTATGGCTAATGTATTCATATATGTAGATTTATATTCATCACTCACTTTAAAATTTAAATCCCAAATATACTTTGAAACAAACAGTAAATTATGAATAAGAAGAAATAACTTTTAAACTAATAAATCTCAAATGATTATGATACAATAGTTTGTAAAAATCTTTGAATAAAAGCAATCAGTCATTATAGGATCACCCTATATTTTTCAAATCTTATTCACTCCTACTATACTATACTATACTAAACGCAAATAAATGTGGAGATAAGAAAATACTTATACCTGACTCAGTAGTATTAAGTTTACATGATAGAATGTCTTTATCTGTTTAGTAGCACTTATAGTGATCTAGTAGAACTATTTAGAATATCTTATGATATTCCATTCATCTAACTATTCTCTAACGATTACACAGGTTCCTCTTTTGTAATCAATATCTCTAACCTTCAGTGAAAAGAATGATAGTCATGTAACTCAAATTGAAAAAAAATAAACAAAATATACAAAACTGAAAGATGTAAAATTAATGAGATAAATGATGAACTATAAGTTCAATTTCGATTGAGGTTCTAGATGTTCATTACCAAGGAGTAGAATATAAAAATAAACAAATTATAATATATTGATTGAGATCATGAACCGATTGATGGTTTGTTTTAATCAAATTTATATTTTGATGATATTGTTGATCAAAGACTGAAATGTCATTGACCTATGGAATTGACTGACCTTTAATTATATCTACTTTTTTTTAGTGGATAGTTGATTTTATGACGTAACATGGTTATCTTTATCTAATAAATTATTGATTTATCGATGTCTTATACAACTCCCTTTAATCTGTAAATATCTGGCTATCAATCAATGTAAATTGTGCCAAAAAATGAGTTTACGAAAAATGATGTTAACCTGAAGAAGTCCAGACAAGTTTGCAGGACGAAACGTTAAAATTATTTAAATTTCAATCACTGTGATTATTTCAAATATAATTTTTCCGTATAATAACTATTCAAATAGTGGTTTCAATTAATTATTTTATCGGTGTCAAATAAATCCTTATCTATTGTTTTTATCTTCTGACTTACGTCATGGGACTTATAGTTTACAGTATCCAGTTCCAGCTATGTACTGTTACAAAAAATGTAGGTATATTTTGAAGGGTCTATAAGAAATTTCCATCTGTACCAATTTCTGTGTTCTAATTTACATCATAGAAATAATAGTTGTTTCTAGTATCAAGTAATTCAGTTTTATTGTTACTACAATTGGCCACATTATTTACTCATGTGTTTGTTTGTTTTGTACAACTAATCACTACAATAAAGATCTCAATCAATAAAATGAGATAGAGTAGGGACAGAGCAAGTCGAAGCACTTTACTGATTTTTAACATAAATGACAGGTAATCAATATTGTGCTGACCTATGTCAAATCTGTTTTTAAGTCATACAATAAAAATCCATAACAACCAGAAAATTGCTCGTATTAATATGTGGTTTGTGCTAAGGGTTTTGTACTCCAATCAAGCAAACAGAATTGAATTAAATAACTTTTATTAATTTTTGACCTATTTGGTTTATTTATTCAATAATTATGATAAATAATGCTGGATTCATTTCAGATTGAAATAAAATCTCTATGCGCCCCGTTGTATAGTAAAACAAAATAATTGTGACCTTGTGTGTATTATATTTCGTAATATGAACCTGAAACAATTAACAACGATTATGATTGGTTGACAAATAACCAATGGCAGCACATAGCAACATAATATAAACGTTTGATCATCCTCAGTTTGCTCATTATTCCAAATTGCACTTATTATCTTAGTGGTAAGTTGGATATTCGTTTAACGTTTTCAGTGTATAGTATTATAATAAGTATTATGAGACTACCAAAAACTATTTCACATAGTAATTAGTTAGAATTATCATATTCTTATTTTTGATTCATTCACAAACACTGAACTATATTATAGTTTCACAATGGTTAAGCGATAAATTAAAAGTTGAAGTAGATAAACGCAAAAATTAATTCCATTATAATATGCCAACTCCATATGATAGAATCGAAAGTAAAATGTTGAAAACTGAATAAAATACACTTATTCTAAATGATGTTCATATACCTATCTATATCGTCTAGAAATGTGAAACTTTGATTCTCTATCAAATTATGTTAACATGCAAATAGAATTACAGTAAACGTTTTATAGTCAAAACTACTAGTTCGTGTCCTTATCCTATAAATTCAAATAATCGCATGATCTCATTTTGTTGAGAGATTGTATTTTGTAATCATACAGAATAACACATTTAACCTTTTATACATAATGTATGCTCTATAAACGTCTTGTAAAATACAAGGTTTAAAGCATATTCCATCTTTTTGATCAAAATATTCGAGTAAGAAATGATGTTACCCATTAACTGGGATTACGATGCTATCGTTTATTAACAAAGTGTTTTACTTTTTTCATTTTCATATTTTCAAAACTACACTTTACATAGATTGTTCTATTAGTCTGTTAGTTTGCCACTAATTTAAATATCATAACTTTTTTTATATAAGATGATATTTTCCAAAGTTATTCGACTATTTGTAAATCTACAATCCAAACAGTCATATTTACACAATCTACTCAAATCTGTACAAATTATGTAAATTCATTGAACTGGCTATAAAACTTTTAGGCTATTAGGTCAATTTTTATACTAATTGTTCTATTTAGTTTTAACATCAAACCAAACAATTATCTTTGGGTTTTTTTTCAGTTATTCTCAATCATATCGGTATATTATGAGAATGATCTTCAGCATACTCAAAATCATGAGAACAGAATATCAATAAAAATGCATTCATGTATTACACCATCATCATCATGTTGTTCATAGTTATTGTAGGATATTTTTGATTCGATTAAAAGTTAATAAAAGAAATCATTGGATGTTATTGAATAACAATTATATTCGATAGACATGTACAGTTGGTTGACTATTTTCATAAAAATCTATTGAATACAAATGGATAAAATTTACCATTCAAAAATTTCCAAAAGACACTCACTAGGAAGAATAAGTAATCAAAAAAATAAATAAATAAGTTCTCAAATAAATTCCACTAGCCCCCCACCCCCCAAGTCGCTATATTGACACTTTATAACACTTTAATAAAATGACTCTTGGTCATAAGCATAATGTGTTTAACTTATCCATATTAAAATAATGTATAAATGATTGGTTTATGACAGTATAATTGAAATGATGTCATTTAATTAATTTACCATTGTCTTTCATACTGTTCTTCTATTTCTTTAATTGAATTAAAGAGATTCAATGAAATTGATTCCAATGATTACATATATTCAATTATTATCTGTTCTATGCTTACTAACTTATGTGAATGCAGGTTTATTACAAAAATCAAATGAAGGTAAGAATAATTTCAATTAAGTGATTCTATCATGAATATTCCTTTTTCTTTTTCAATATTTAAATTAATATCAATTAACTGGTGACATATAAATCTACATGATACATAACAATAATGATACAAAACTAACTAGACAACAAACTGATATTATTATCAGTGTGAAATATTAATTAAATTCTGAATGTTATATGTACAATGTTTGTTTCCTAACAGAAATCATATGTTTAATTTCAACTAATCCATGAAATTGAACGACATATCCATCATTGTTTTCAGTGAATCACTATCTCACAACAGACTCGGTTGAACTCCATTGGTCAGTGTTACTCACTAGAACTCCATGAAATACCTTTGGAAGCCAGTCATTAGAGAGTATATGTTGATTAATATCAAAAGGGGTTTTTGTGGATATCATAGTAATTTCAATAGTTAAGAAGATGAGTCACTAAAATGGACGTCCAGTGCTTCCAGGTTTCCCAGAGTTAACTAGCTTCAATTGACTCATGATCCCAACTATTGAAATTACGATAATATTCACACAAAAAACAACCCTTCTGACAGAAATCATATAGTTAAGAAGTTGTAATTCATTTATTTATAAATACTCTTGAAATCTAACAGATTAATGTTTCACAACAGAATTCAATGCTAGCTAGTAAGAATATCACGAATAAAGTAAGAATACTATAATATCGAATGCTTAGTTCTATCTAACATCCAATATTTTATTCAATATTCAGTCAAATATGTCTAGAAAATAAAAAATAAAATAACAAGAATTCAATTATTGAGAAAGTAGAATGATAAACTGAGGATATATTAGAACACTTCTTCGATTATTCACATAATCAAGTTAACGGGAGATCAACATTCTAATCAACTGGTCATTCCTTCTCTTGTTCTGTTTAAACACATCATTACTCAAATCAGTGAATGATATTGAGAGTTACTGACTGAAATGTTTTAATAGACTGAGTATTTGTAGTGATTTGCTCCAGACTATAAAGACAGAGTGAGAAAGTTGGACAAATCAGTAGTATAAGTTACATGTGAGGTTTATTCTAAAATGTATTGAATGTTGGATTTGCTGAGATTGTTAACACTGACAAATGTTAAATTTAAACATGTGATTGAATTAGATGAATAACTTCAACAAACGTTTTCTTTCGAAATGTATTACAGATGAAGTTTCATCCGTCGGAAAGACTGATTCTGGACAAGATATAGAGCCGTCAATCGTTTCTGATGTTGTTGCAGAAAGTGTTGATAGTTTGAATGAAACCACAAATGTAGACAGTCATAAAGAAGGAACATCTAACTCGAATTCCTCTGATTCGATTGTAGTGGCTGACGTTGCTAACACTGAGACTGTTGTCAACTTAACCTCAAATCCTCCAGAATCTACGATAGGAAATTCTGACAACAATTCAGATAGCACTGACAACTCAGGTGTTTCCTCTACTCTGACGACAGAAACTGATACTACTCAGAATGATATCGTTGTTCCGATAATTGCAGAGGGTTCAGAAAATCATACAGAAAGTACTTCTACTGTGACAAGTGGTGAAAATGATACAGAAAGCACTTCTACTGTGACAAGTGGTGAAAATCATACAGAAAGCAATTCTACTGTGACAAGTGGTGAAAATCATACAGAAAGCACTTCTACTGTGACAAGTGGTGAAAATCATACAGAAAGCACTTCTACTGTGACAAGTGATGAAAATCATACAGAAACAGTTATATCTGATTCAACCTCAGAAAATCTTGATAACCATACAGAAGCCCCTACAGATGCTAATGCACCTTCTCCTTTGATAGTAGCCGTTGGTGATCTTTGTAAAGAGTTTGGTATTTACATGGACACACAGTTGACTAGTCTAACATCAGGAGACTTTAAAAATCAGACAGAAAGCACTGGTAACTCAGATATAACCCCTTATACACAGGTCCATAACGTTGACGAAAATCGTACTGATGACTCTCACTTAGAGTCAACTTCAGAAAGTGTTGATATTCGAACACAAACTTCTACAGAAACACCTAAATATCCTTCTCCTTTGATGAAACTAATTGATAACCTTTGCAAGGTGTTCACTAACACAAATGAAATTGTCTCTGATACAACAGAAGAACCTCCCGAAATCATTACAACAACTGAGGCAAACAACATCAATGAGTCAGAAACCAAGTCTACCGACAACGAAACACAAAGTGTTTCCAATATTTGCATTAACACTATGTGTGCAAATGAAACAGGCACAACAACTGAACAACCAAGTACTACCGGTGCAGTATTGCATCATTTAAATCTTTCTGATATAAAGAGTAAGAAGTGTAAACCAAAGAAATCAGATGAAGATGACTGTGAAACCGATTCAGAAAATGAAGATTCCTCGGAAGGGACCGATAGTGATGCTGATAGTAATGATGAAAGTGATGATGATAATGAATGAAATTGATAAGATTGTGCTGACATTAAACACAATCTCTGGTGTACCACGAGATGATTTTACATTTATTAAACACAAAACAAAAGCAAAATTGAATTAGCGTACTAATCTTTTAAATTCCGCTTAAATTTTACAATTTAAACATTGAAACAAGTTCTGTCAACTGATTGCAAAAAGATCAATGTAACATTCAGTCATAATGTATTACATTTTATCTCTTCACAATATATATACATACTTGGTATTGGCTGAAATATAAGTTTTTCTTAAATTAAACTGTATATTTTCAATTTAATAATTGTATATTGAACGATAAACAATTCATCATAGATATGCAGAGATGGACAGTGGCTAGTAGTGGAATCCAGGACGCGCATTTCGCCCTATTCAGGACTCGTCGGCTGGATGTACCTGCGTCTCAGAGTTGATGTTCACTCTGGGACTCGAACTTAGTACCGTTCGCTTCAAGCGTCATCGCGTTATTCACTTAGCTTCTGAGTTCTAAGGCTATATCGAGACAATACGCACAGTATGTACATATGCCAATAAGAGACTGATCGATTGCAATCCTAAACATCGATGGGAAGATTCAAACAAACATTACCAAGTAAATTTAATTTATCATAGAGTTAAGCAAAATAATAATAAACAAGAAAATTTCACTTAATTCTAAATAAAATGTACATTTGAAATTGAAGTGCTCAATTAAAAATCAACAAGATTAATTCGACGACTTTATGAGCGAACCAATCAGATTTAAGACAACAATATTTGGATTTTGACACGAAATTTTACCTACGCGTTTGGTCAAATAGCATCTTGTGATGAAAAACCGTAAATTTTATTCTTAACCCTAACCGTCAACTGAATCATAATCCTTATTCTTCAAACTGCTTTAGAACTCTCATTTAGCCATAGTAAGTAGGTAGACACTGTCGAGGTCACTTTGGCATCACTCGAAGATCAACCATAAATTATAGTCTCCCCGTTAATTCTACCAAACTTAGCACGTTCAATGTTTAGTAAATCTACCAGTCACTGTATTACAAAAGATAAGTTACAGAAGAGGAGATTTTTAACAAAAAATATGAATATCAGTAAATAAGACATTATTTTGTCATTATAAATAATGAGATATATCTGTATAGAATTATCAGTTATATGAAACCCTTTCAATCCTATAGTATACTTGTGAGTTTTATGCAATAGGTCACTTAAACCATATTCTGTATAACAGTTTCTATCATGTACCCTAAACTGATGTTTCAGATCTGAACATATAACTGGGTATTTATTAGCTCTTATTAACATATATTCACTCATTAATCTGTAAGAAAAGGTGATGAAGAGTACAAATAACTATTAATAATAAATCTCTCTCTTTTTGAGATAATTTATAAATATAAACTAGTTTTAAAATTAAATTTAGTCAATACTATTGTTGTTTTTATTACGAAGCTAACATAGAATATAGTGAATGGTGAATGAAAATCTGTTAAAGAATGATACATCTTCAGCAATAGATGCATTAATCTACGATCGTAAATAATAACTTTTTACTGTATGGTTCATGCTAGAATATTTGTTAACATCGGTGATGTTACATTTGTTTACATCAGAGTTGAAAAGGATTAGTCTTCGTGCAGTTCTATCACATTATATCATATTTCCGTCCTCAGACTTACTTATTATAACATGTTCTGTAGGTACTCTATTGAATCTCTGATAAATTTAGCGTCTGTTGGAGTTCCGTGAAGTAATAATGCATATGTTTCTGGATTATCGGTTCTTAGATTTAGTTTCATTTGTGCTCTGAAAAGTAAACTGTTCACAAACTGCTTACTACTATTATGGTAATTAGTTACCCTAATAAATAAGCTTGACCACACCAGTAGACATTTCTCTTGCTACAAACAAGTCTATTAATTTCACTGAGTGTATAATTAACAAAATATCGGCGACCCAAATATTTGTCTTTGTAAGCGTAATCATAAAATCATTAACAGTTAACTTTGATGTGAAGAAAAGTACCACATAGTCACATTTACCCAGTTGTGGCATATATTTCAAACGTCAAGCATCTTCCTCGTAGCAAGAAAATAATGCATTGGTTAACTTCGGCACTAACGTTGAATCTTAATTCGTTAATTCCATGACATTTTGTACAGTAATAGATATAATATTGGAATCAACTACATTTTACTCAAACAATTTCTCAAAAAATAAACATTGAGTTTTTTCCAGTTGAAATTATCCTGCTAATAAGAGATGAATCAAATATTGTTGCCTGAAAATGAAGTTTGAATCGATAATTCGTTTAAATTATTACCGTGTCGTTTTCACCATATTTGAAAAACAGACCATAGTTTGTCGAATTATAATATACTATTCATAAGTAACTGTGCATAATCGTGTTGTCCAAGTTAGGATAGTTTATAACTAAACACCTATCCTTCCTTTAATAATCAACATTCAGTTGTAACAAATCATATGACCAATCGAAAAAGTAACCAGTATAACAATGTATAGAAAATGTATCTAGGGTCAGTATTTAAAATGAGAAAAATCTTAATTATATAAAAATTCAAAACTTCCTTTGTATAATAATAAAAAAAATAGTTCACAATCGGTACTATCCTGACAGTATTGATTTTAATTTCCAATATCAAGGGTTGAATGGTTATATATATATGTCCATATGTGATCAGATTGTTACACATGGTGTATCGCATTAATTTAAACAAAATATTTCTAATATATTTAACTGTTTTCACGAAACTACTAAGATTTATTGTGAAGTTCTCAAAAAAACTAATTCACTGTCATCTCTATAAACGTGATGGAGTAGGTTTATGTCTCTCCCAAAGGAATCAGTTTGTATGTTAAAAAATATACGTCTTCAAAATTAATAAATGGTTAAGGTCATCCATCAAGTTTAAAATGTTCAACAAGCCCGGTTTTTTTATCCAGCATATTTGACTAGTTTTTCGTTCAATTAGTGTATGGGTGTTACATATTAGAGTGCAATTTTCACTCAAGATTTCATTTCAAACTTCAATATGTATTCTATTTGTGTTTTTCATATTTTATATATGAATGGGCTTTGAATAAATCTAGTCAGTCAAAGCGAAAACTACCCACTAATATGCAGCAGACACCAACTGACTGAACAGGCAAATGATCAAAAGTGCTTGGTGTGAAATGGTTAATAGAGAATTTTAATGAATACGTTTTCCGCATTAAAAAATTACCTTTGTCTCATAACAACTGGATTATTGATTATTGAACAATATTTTACTAGTAACCAACATTTGTATATCGGATAAAATCAAGTTTTCGAGCGACTGGAGTGAGTCTGGTACAGTCGCTTGGTGGAAAACGTGTGAGCATTCACAATAGTTGATTCTTTGAAAGGAATTTTTATACGAACCTTAACACTAGGATTCAAGCAAATCCAGTTGTCAAGTAGCGAATGGAACGAAGAACCCTGACTGTTACTGTAACACTTTTATAGAAAGAAATCACAAACATCAAATGAATCATAGTAACGAGTTTACGGAGACATATCAGTCGTGGATGGAAAAGTCAAAGATTTGATAACCGAATAATAATTTCTCTAGATATAACACTAAGTGATACAGGTGTGAGTCCCTGAGGAAATTGTATTTCCACCCAAATTTCTAGTTCCAACATATTCAGCAATGTCAACCAATATAAAACTAAAAGTCAAGTTTCCTGTTCACTACATTTAACCATTTAGTATTACTGACATTTTATTATTTGCTGATTTCTTATTTCTTAAAAATAAACACCAGCCGTCTCTTCACTTTAGTTTCAAAGCAAATAATTCGATACTATATGGTCAGGTTTTGTCCCATAACATCAATAAAGTTGGATTATATTATTGTTATATTTGGCCACCCTTATAGATAAAAAGGTCATCCTCAATAATCCTCTCAGTCCGAAAATTACATAGGACTTTTCCCTTTCGTGGAGGAGCATACGACATACATCAACATTCTCGATCAAACTCTGATCCCAACAATCACTTCCAGTTCCCATTCATTATTTTGATATCTACCTCAAATTCACCATTCAATGTGTTCCCTGACCTACCGCTTTCCCCATTACCTTCAAGATTCCAAGTTAGCACTTGTCTCATGATCCAATCCAATGGTTTCCACAATATATGTCTCACCAACCTCAAACATCTTTTCCTAATTTCCACTTCAGTTGGAAGCTAGTTTGTTCCCTAACACAGTGGACTATTTCTGATGGCATCCGGTCAACTGACATTCAGTATATTGCATAGACAATTGTTTATAAATACCTTTACTATTCTGATGATGATTGTGGTAGTTCTCCAAGTTTCAACTCAGTATAGTAGAACTGACTTGATGTTCGTATAGAAGATTCTCATTTTGATGTTGACTGTCAGTTGTTCCATATGTTCTATATGTTCCTCAACTGTAGGAATGTTGTCCTTACTTTGCCAATCCGTGTACTTACATCTTCATCAAATTCTCCTTGTCTATCGATGATCGTTCCAAAGTATTTAAAAATTCACCTGTTCCAGAATTTCTCCATTAAGTATGATTGAGTTGGTGTTCTCTGTGTTGTATTTCATGATCTTGTTTTTCTCTTGCGTTTGTTGAGGCCTATTGATACAGAGGCTGCTGCTACACTAGCTGTCTTCACCTAAATTTGTTGCACTGTATGGGATAGAAGAGCTAGGTCATCTGCAAGGTCCAAATCGTCCAGACATATCTCAACTATCCATTGTAATCCGTGATTCCCCTCAGTTGTAAAGGTCTCGGAAGTCCTACCGACCACCAGAAGAAAGAGAAGGGGAAAAGTAAACAGAGTTGTTCTACACAGCTCTTCGCTTAGAATGTATCTGACAGCTTCTGGACCCAGACTGGGCAGACATTAAATGATTTAAATTATTTTTCTGATTAACGTTTTTTAGCATAGTTGTTTTCTATAGGATAGGATTGCTGACTCAATCATCACCCCTCCTCCTTTTTCAGGACTTGGGACTGGCAATAACCCCAGAAGAACTACAGGCACTGATTAGGCGAAATTTTCCTACTATGCATTTTATTCACATGATGTGTTGTTTTGCTGTTATCGTGATTATACTTTGAAACTACTATGAATCATTCTGACCTGTATTAAGTGACGTTTCCAATTTACAAATGACAGTATCTTGAAGTATTTATGTCGCGAAAGATGATAAAGTTCCCCGGGTTCAACATATAACATTGTTAAATT